TTGGCAGGAGAGGGTATGGAGTTGAGGAGAGAAGGGCATGCATGCCACAGCACACCCCACTTTCAACAAAGTGTTGCATCTTTGGCAGCTCCCCGCACCCCACCCCCGTGGCCAGCAGTGGAATCTGGACCACTGAGCAATGATTTCGATAGCTCTGCAGTAAAGATCATAAAATACACCCCTGGCTGGCGTCACAGCTTCTTTATTATGCTAAATGGTGAGGGCCACCAGGGTGAAATTTAAAGTCTTTCCCTTAATGGTGGCAGGCCAGGGTTCAGCGCAAGGGCTGATGGGTCAGAAAGGAAGGCCTGGCAAAGCCTCTCCATAGCCACCCAGCAATCTGGCTGCCTCCATTATTTTCATAAGCAATTTTGTTTTCTAATTTGGAGTGTGGTGGGGATGGGGGAGCATTGACTTAGGACTTCTGAATGCCCATCACTCAAGTTGTCCCCCACATGGTCTTCCCAGTGCCAGGCTGTATTTATGAGCCAGAGATGGCTCAGGCCAGAGACTCTCCAGCCTGGCTCCCCTGCGCCCAGCACAGCTCAGGCCTCACTGATGCCAAAGGAGGCTCTGAAATGATACGTTTGTTCTGCTTTTACTGCTGTATATTTTAAGAAAAAGAATTGCTACACTGGAATGAATAGATTATGAGTAAATAAAGAGAAACTGTCAGTCTCTTTGAAGATTGTGCTTAAAGGGACTTGCCAAGTCAGGGCACAAGAGTGACAAGATAGAGACCTTGGTGCTTTGCACGCTTAGCTGGGCTCTTCCGCTTCATCTGCACAGCACTAAAGGATGTGTTGATGCATTGAATCACAAAAAAAAAAAAATTGGCATTCGAAATAAAAGGTGCCACACCACAATGATTGTAGTGTTTGAACTGCGAAGTGCCACACTGCCCCATCCAATCGAAAGGCAGGTCTACACAGAAGGAGAAAAAAAAGATACACTTTCATAACTTATAAGGAAGTTGAAGTCTAACATTTGACTTTCTAATGAGTGTAATGAGATTACATGCCTGATGGGAGCATTTGTACAAAAGCAACTTTCGTGTTTAATGAGGCCGTAATACAAGGCAAAAATCAAATTATTTTTTTTTCTCCTTCTCAAACATCTCCAGAGTAAAACCAGCTTTTAGGGGGAGAGGAGGTGGGAGAAGAGGAAAAGGCTGGAGGAGGTGAAGGGGGTTCATGGCTCAAGGCCTGCTGGGGAGCGTCGCGACCCAGAATCTTAGCGTGTCTGGCCAGGCTGCTCTGCAGGGTCGGTCCAGCTTCTAGCCTCGCTTTAATTACTCTTGGATGAAGTCCATGGCACCCGCGGCGCGCGCGGGGGAACCCCTCGGTGGGTCTGAAACTAGGTTAAAGCGATTAGCATGCTGTCTGTACGCGGTCCTCCAGCCAGGCGCGCGCGCCCGTGGTGGTTGGGGGGAAGGGGGGGGGCGAGGGCAATAGGAAGACGCGCGGTCGCACTTTGACTCCCCAGGTTTGCGCTGAGAAGCAGCTCACCTTGACCCGGCCTGCGGTGGCTCCAGAGTCCAAGGTTCCATGCCAAAGCGAGAGTCTCCTGCCCTGCCCCCACGCGCCGACCCCTCCACTAGCCACCAAGAGCCCAGACAGCACTGGCCAGGGTGGGGGCCGGGGGGGGGGGGGCGAAAGCCCGCAGTGGCCAGGGGGAGACCAGTCCAGCCCAGGCTTCTTCGACTTTCTGGCTCAGGGTCCAGACTTCTCCATCGCTTCTCTTTCGGTTCGCTAGAGGGCGACCCTGTTACCTCTGCCTCAAACTGGCCTTCCTCCTGTTGTGGGCAGAGGAGGACTAAGAACTGTTTCAAAAATAACCCAAGTGTAGAGGTGGCCCGGTGGGGGTGGGGTGGAGAGTTTCTCTTGGCCTTGCCCCAAACCCCTGAAAGTTGTGAGGGGTCTCCTGACTTCAGCAAGGTCAACTACTCCAGTTCCTTTCAGGGGAGAGTCTGAATTTCAGGAACCTGATGCTTAAGTGAGGAAAGGAAGGCTTCAGGGCCCAGCTCTAGAGCAGTGCAAGCAGAAAAGCCCTCTGCCCTGCCTGGCCTCTCTGATTAGGCACGGTGGCAGTCACTTGGGCATGCCAAACATTGTCCCTAAACCTCAGCTTTCCCACTCTAGAAAATGGGAATAATAAACTACCCCTGACCTAGCTGTCCCATGAGGTGTTCCATAGTTAGGGCACAAACAGAGGCAAGCTGTACTATTGAGAGCCAGCAGGACAGATTGGCTGCTGTCAGAGATCTTGGATTTATTCTCCCATCCACACCCACTCCCCTTCAGACCAAATCTAAATGAAATGTAGTTTACTCCTAGACCTTAGGATTTGAGCCTCTGCTTCAGTCACTTTTAAGGAAGTCAATTCTTTTGAATGCAGTTACTCCTATGATCTACAAACAAATAGCTTATAGAAACACCACCAGCGAATAGCATTTATTAACAACGCTTAGAAATAAACCGAATCTGGTATTAAATAAGCA